ATTCCAAAAAGGAGGTAATTGGCAGCAGGCGGTCTCTCAAGTACCCAGATCCAATACCATGAAGGGCTTTATAAGTGACGACTAGCACCTTGAAGCATATCCTGAGACTGAAGACCACTTATCTCCAGAGGTTTCTGCCTAGCCATCCTAGTGAGCCAACCAAGTCCCTTCAATTAAACATTGTCACCTGTTGGGATGACTCTGTTGTGCTACCTCCTTTTTGGAATGAGGTCTCACTGAGATAGCAATAGCACTTAGACTTATATACCACTTTACAGGCCTCTATAAGCAGTTTAACAGTCAGCATATTTCCCCAACAACATTTTAGCCACTTCCACAGGGATGGAAGGCTGAGTCAACTTAAGCCTGTTAAGATTTGAACTGCCAAATTGCAGGCAGATGGCAATCAGCAGAAGTAGCCTGCACTCTAACCATTGCACCACCGTGGCTCATAATCAGATGATTTCCACTCTGCTGATACTCTGGAAGATCTCCAAGAGCTGACTGTTCTATCAGGCCTTGCATTAGGTGACTGCATTTTGTATGTATTTATCTAAGTTATTTGGTTGTTCATCATTTACTGATTATTGCCTCTAAAAAAATCTTATTTTGTCATATTGTAAGTTAAACAGTCAATTTGGAGTTGGATGATGCGAAAATCAAATTAAATAATTAAGCAAGACCACAGCTTTAAAAGGTTGGACTAGAACAGTTCCAACTCTGTTATTCTGCTTCAACTGTTTCAGTTATAGAGAGTGAGTTAATCAGAAATTAAGTAAAGGGGTTGTGTTTGGTTCCAAAATGATTAAGAAATTATTTTGATCACACATAAACACAGCATCTCTCTTCTATTCACTAAAGGCCTTTTTTTCTCAAATTCTTAAGGCAGCTGTTTTTTTTAAATAAACTAGGTAGCTTTAAAGATATATACCAGAGAGATAATATGGTTGTGCAAGATCCAAAGAATTTCTTCTCAATTATTTACAAAGTGACCACAGTCCTATTAACCATGCAATCCTGTTTAAACATAAATTCCATTGGTTTAAATAGGGCTTGGTCCCAAGACAGCATGCAAAATAATCAGTGAGATTAATCAATAAGCTGAAACAATGCAACAAAGGAAGGAAGGATTTCATACCACTTTCATCTGAATCAATTAGTTTCAAATGATTTTCCTAATATATTACTTTATTTTAATCATGGATGATTAAATACAGAAGATAATGCAATTACAGATTTTAAATCTTCATTATTAGTATTAGTATCCTGCAATTTAACAGATGGATTCTTCAGCTTCCAAAGATGTTCTGTCTATTAATGTCTTGATATTTCTATCATTATAATATTGTTAAAAATTACAATTTAGACTTTAAGGAAGAAAAAAAATGAATAAGTACCATTTTTGCATGTTGATTCAGAAAGGACAACTGAATTTAGTAGGCTTTATTTTAAGGTTAGTGTGATTGTGAATGTAGATTTTTTTTTTGCTTTAGATTTCTAAAACAATAAGAAGAAAGTACCGTATATCTAATTATATCCAATGTAAATTTAATGTAATGGATCAGATTTGAGATTTTGGCAAGAAAGCAATGTCCTTTTGCTATAAAAAAGATGTGAAGTCAGGAATTAGATATATTACTCTTCAGTTCTGTTTGTAATTTTATAAAGTGGAAAAAAACAAGGACCATTGCTATTTCAGTAGGAACTGATTACATCATATGCTATATTAGATCTGGGTTCCATCAATTAAAGAATGCCATCCTGTGGAACCTAGGAACTGTGTTTTTTCTGACAGTCTTGCCTTCTAGAACACCTTGCTGATGGACAGTAATGCAGCAGGTTCCCAGGAAGGAGGAAGCACATTCCAAGGATGGGGTGAAACAAAAGAGAGGCACATTATAGAGTTGGATTGTGGGAAGAGGAAGAGATTTAGGATAGCTGCCCTGAAGAATCTTCAGGATATATCAGTTGGGTTCGCACCTTATAGGTTTAGTCTGGCAAGATCCTGTCTATATATGGTGTCAGGAAATAAAGAACTGAACTTTGTCTGGATTACTTTTGAGCTAATGTTCTTGGGCTATATCTGATGTTGAGATCAGATTGGCTCCAACCCTCCTTGCCTTCTGAAAAGTTTGGAAAATCTGGTTTTTTGCTCAGGCGTTTGAATTAGTTAGTTAAGCCCAAGTGGGTTGATATTATATTGTATGTTACATTTTTTATTCTGATGTCTTTCTTTTGAATTAAATGTGTAGCATTTGTACATTTTATGTTTTATATTGTTCTATTTTTAACTTGTTTGCTGCTCGGATGAGAAAGCTGATCATATAAAAATAAATAAATACATTTATGGTGCTCTAATAATAATTATTTATTAAATAATTAATGAATTGAGTGAGTGAGAGGCAAATCGCTAAACTTACCCATCAAGTTCTTCCCTTTGCCCATCTTTTGAATTCTGTTCATCTCATTCTGGCACGGGAGGCCTAAAACATAATTCATGAGAATGAGTTTCCAGATGGTGAGGGACAGACCCTCTAATGATTAGCTTCACAATTGACAGGCAAGTGTAGTCTATTGCTCACCTGGGAATGACTGAACTACATATGCCTGTACAGTACAGCAGAACAAATGCATGACATTAGCTTTACTAATTAAAAAAGACACAACCTGCTATGCTTAAAAATAGTGTTTGGGGGCCATTTTATTGTTAAATACTTTTTCTCCCCTTTCTCTTCATCAGCCTGATATAAACAGGATGATAATTTACCACTGGTTTGTCAATTAATTTCCACATTTTAAGCAATTGCCTAAGCTATAAACTAATAGCAGCTGAAGCAGTTCTGAAGATTTAATTGCAACTGATGACCAAGGATCTATATTTCTCAGGGTATTTACAGAGCCTCCTGCTGCTTAATCAATGGAACAAAATCCTCATGTGATAGAACATGGTGTGTTTTGTAGTAGTTGAGTAGCAGACCATGCATGATTTATATATTTGGTCCTACAATGGAAAAGGGCTGTCCTTTATGGTGTGGGTATGGTCAGATACATTGTTCCTGAGCCTTCCTTCCTTATCTGTAAGCTGAATGTCTACGAAGACTGAAATTTTGTTAGATTGTTTGCAAAAATCTGTATGGGATATTGCAGATGGGAATAGTTCTCCATTTCTCTCAGAAGCAGCCCCAAAGCATCTGTTATTCCTGCTTAGACTATTACTGAAACAGATGGGATGGAGAAGGTGTCATGTTGATATAGAGCTGCTTCTGAGGACGTGGAAACAGATTCCCAGCCTTTGCAGAATACTCTAAACATTTCTAATTCCATGTAACATTCTGAGTGAACGTCTTGTGCTTATATAATAATAGCTTTATTTATGCTTATACAAAAATGCAGCCTAGCAAGAAAAATCTGGAAAAAATAAAGAATAGTAAATTGGAAAAATGTGGATGAAAATTGAACATTTTGTTCAAAATGAAATATTAGGATTCAAAACATATAATATTAACAGAGAGCAGAATGGCATGAAAAAGAGTAATACATCATGAAATGGGGAAAAAAGAAAGATACAAAAGAATATATTAAATTTGATAAATTTATCCTTGAATGTATTAGAGACTGTCTGGCTGGTGTCTTTCTGATGCCGCTCATTCAGTCTTCCTTTGTTGTTTTTAAATGAAGAATGTAAATGAAACAACCAAAGGAAAAGAGAAAAACACTTCCATATCAGAAATTATGTTTTTGGATAGGAAAAAAACAGCTCCAAAACAGACATCATGACACTCACTGGAAAATAATCTTAAATTACTATATTACACAAAACCTTCCTTTCATCTAGGAAAAAGCTGTTCCTTGATCTCAAACAGGTTTTGCATATCAATAAATGTTTTTGTTCTCCCTCTCAAAGGGATACAGGTGGCAATAAGCAGATATGGGTATGGGAAAAGTCAGGTGTCTTCTATTAATCCATTTTACTTTAGGGGAGCAGACAAAGTTATAAGTCAAGTTAATGAAAGTATACTGGTTATGGGACTAATTGCTATGCCAAGGACTAAAAGAATGTTTATGCTGCATGCCACTTATGGTTTCTTTGAATTGGGCCAAGCTATAAATATTAACTTGATGCAAAAGTCCGAAATAAATCTCCATTGAAAACTAATTGAAAATATGAACTGGGAACCTACAGGCAATGGCTGTGCAGAAAATGGTTGGTTTTGTTGCTAACACATTTTTTCAACAACCCAAATGACAGCTATGTAACTGAATATATCCAAATAAACAACACAATAATGGAATAGATTACATTTTATGTAGCAGCATATGGGAAAATTCTCTGCTGACTTGTAAAACACTGTAAGGTGCTGAATGTGGATCAAACTATCAGCTGCTAATCATAGAAATATGCTTTAGACTGAACAAGACTAGAAAGAATCAAATCTCAATGAGATGTAACATATTCCTGAGGAATATAAGTTTGAGGTCAGGGGCAAATACCCTGGACCTTTGAGGGAAGAAATCAAAAGATAAAGCTGGAAAGCATATAAAAATATGGAGTACAAACAGAAGAAAGAAAATAACCTGGAAGAACAAGGGATCTGTTTAGGAAAATTAAAAAAAATCACAAAAATAATTCAATACATATTAAAGTCATAAGGAACACACATGAAAAGGATTTAATGATGGAAAATTGATATACCACTAAAATTCTCCTGTTTGTAACTTTTAATTGGGTGAAATGATGTATCATTCCAGATTTCTTTTCCTAAATCAATGTACCTCAAATGGGCTAACTAAAGGAGTATATCTCAAATCTGGGACCCATTACTCCCACAGCATTGATATTTGGCAAAGTTGTGGTTACTTCGGTGCTGCCATGGCTCCATGTTGCTGCTATTGCATGATTGGCATTTCCAATGTTCGCTGTCACTTTCTCACAAGGAAAGTCAATGGGGAAGCCAGCAAGAAGTTGGAAGTTGCTCCTGTTTCCACTGCTATTTTGCCCACCTTTAGACATCCTGTTTCTCATTTAGGTAAGGAAATATATCTGAAACAATGACCCAAAGAATCATGGGTTGTCTAGTACTATTTAAAAAGGTGGAAGGAATAAATGAACAAATTGAACAAGAAAACCAACTTAAATAGAATTGTATTCAAGACAAAATGGGTTTATGATAAATTGGTCATGCTTGAGGAGAAATTCAGATTATTATTAAATAACTAATAACTAGAAAACTCACAGTTGTGTATAAAATTGCTATAGAGTGTTTAAATGAAACTGGTATGAAAACAGTAAAGATTATGATAGCTCTCTGCTGGCTAATATATTAAAAAGATGGTTAAAAGACTGCAAAAAACCAATCCCAATCCATAAAATAGGAGATTTAAAAGAATTACAGAATAACTTTAATACCACATGCCAGCAAGATATAGCTGAAAACTTTCTGAAAATATTAGCACTTTATATAGAGATAAGTGGCAATTGAATAAGCAGACTTCAGAATCAACGATCTGATTCTTCTGATAACAAGTCTCTATAATAATCAGGATGCCACAATGAGAATAGTATTTAATTTCAACAAATGGTATCAAAATCAATAGAAGAAAATAAATGATCTGAGATAATTCTGAGGCAGAAACTGAAGAAGAACGAAGACTAATCATTCTAAAAGTAAAGCCCTGGTAGCACTGTGGTTAGAATGCAGTATTGCAGGCTAACTCTGCCCATTGCCAGGAGTTTGAGCCTGACCGTCTCAAAGTTAACACAGCTATACATTCTTCCAAAATTGGTAAAATGAGAACCCAGATTGTTGGGGGCAATATGCTGACATTGTAAACTGTACTGTAAAGCACTATGGAGCAGCATATAAATCCTAATGCTGTTGTTATTGCTAAAGCAAGGGAGTGAGAATGCAGGGCTCTCTTTGAATATCAAGAAAATAAAGACCAGGTCTACTGGAAAGTTAGAAGAATTTAAGATTAACAGTTAGATGATAGAAGTTCTGGGCTTCAAAGTTCTAGGAGCCAGATAAAATTCCAAAGAGAGTCAGAGAATACCAGTGATGAGCAAAAAGGTTTGGACTATAACTCACAGGAAAAATCAGGACATTTCAATTAAATCAAAAGCTAGAATGATCCACTCGCTGGTCTTCTCCTGTATGAAGTGCAGATGTGAGGGATGGCTTATCATGTGAGAGGAAAAAGATTAATTCCTCTGACCTATGGCGGCTGAAGAACTGCTTTGCATTCCTTTGAAAATCAAGAGAACCAATGTCTTAATACTTGAGTAAATCAAGGCCGAGTGTTCACTGGAAGTCAAGTCACAAGACAAAAGTTATAAAACTTTGGGTACATCATGAGGGCAGATACATCTATGGAAAAGAAGATAATATTCAACAAGAGAATGGAAGATCAAGAAAAGGCTGACAAATGTGAGATAGAAAGCAGAAAAGTATTTAATAGGATTGTCTAATATGACGAGAGACAAAACATCTTGAAGAGTTTTAACCCATAAAGTCACCCAGAGTTGGTTTGAGTTTATTAAGATGTAACAATAAATATTATAAAAATAAATAAAAACAAAATTAAAGAAATGAGAGTGCTCTGTACATAGTAGTACACATGGAAGGCTATAACATTGCTCCTTAAACCCTTCAACAACTCAGCTCCTATTCACTAGACTTAAGTATTAGATATTTGGATGTTGGCATCCTTAGGCACTAAACATGGGAAAACTTCTCTCTAGATGAATAGATAGATGAGGCATCAAACCATTTGTGGATGAATTCTTAAAGAATTAATTCCAGAATTTGCTTGTTCCTCCCATTAAATACCACAGCAGTTGTAATCGTGGAAGTATGGTTCTAAATACCAAAGAAAGCATCACAAATTCTTTTCCTCTTAATTTTATTTAGAAGTAAAGTATAGCATACTGATTTGTAATCTATTTTCTCTGAGGTTGAATTTGGTCTATTACCTCCAGGCTTCTGAAAGCAGTAGCACCACTCATTGTTGGAAAGCTTTCCATCTTTGAAGGAGTCACAGGAGTTGAAGAGAGGCTTAATGCATGGTTCATACTTATCCAGATAAATAGCATTGATCTCAGAGTGATCAAGGAGAAGGTCATAGTTCATATCCAGTTTGTTGAACATCCAGCCCAATGAATCCTTACAGATTGGTAATATGCTAGTATCAAATCCTGTGGAGGAAGGAACAAACAATTCTAGCTGAGAAGAAAACACAGATATATAAAGAAATATTTAAAAATCTCACTCGAATTCATTGTATTCTCATATTTTGCAAATAATGGTTGTAAAATTGGATTTCACATTGTCGTTTCCTTCCTGAGTTGCTAGAAAATGGAACATGATCTTAGTTCAGAACTAAATGAAAATCAAACGCATGGGTTGAAGCTATGATAGATACATCTTCAGAATTGGCATCATAGCATTATGAAGATGCATGTAGTTAAAGACTTTTTCAATCAGACTTTAGTTTAATTATTCATCTATAAATGGAACACTCTTCAATAATTAAAGTGATTTTATTATACTTAAGGAATGTTGGTTTTCAAGGAACCATATATTTCTACAGTAATTCAAAGAAATCATTATAGTGCAGAATGCAGCTGGAATTGGCATTTATCATTGAAACAGGAGTCATACACATTCTCCTCCCTCACAATTTTAACAGAAGTAGCACTAATACTTTCAAATTATCTAAAAGTTGACAGCAAAAGATACCATTAAGGATACCTTAGTTTTCTGCATTACATTCATTAGTATCCATTAATTTGACATTCCTTAAAAACATTTGATCTCTGAAAACATTTGCTTTAGAAGCAAAAGCAGCATTCTACCTGCTAGTGAACACTTCTCTCTTTTTAAAAAGAAAAGATAAGTGGCATGCATATATTTTGAGGCAGAATCGTTTTAAAACCTCAGGTGTACATGGATGAGAATTAACTGTGATAAAATGAGCCTGCATTTCTAAGAGAAGTAGGCAATTACATTTTTTCTCTTTCAAACTTCTTAAGGTCTCAGGCTATAACCTCCAAATATGACAAGTTCCCCATCTTCCTTTCAAGATGGACTCAAAAATTCACTTTCTTTTGCACCTCTTTGCTTTTTCTTCTTTCAAAGTTACTGATAAGAATGACACACAATTTATCAAACTATTTTCTGTGATAGTTATGATAGTTACATATCTAGGTCGGTAGGATTTTTGAACTCATGGTACCCAGGTAGGAGGTCACTTCTCAGAAAGCCCATTCACCAGATCCAAGCTGTTAATTTATTATATATATGTGTGTATGTTTCAGCATAACTCTGGAACACCTCGAGCAATTTCAACCAAACTTGGTACACAGATGACTTACTCTCTGGAAACAGATAATGTCAGGGTAAGACACTCTAAAACCCCTTGGGGTGTGTGTTCTCTTATGATGCAGCTTGTTGTGCCTTAAAATGGATTCTACTGTACTTCCGTAAAATGGATTCTACTTTACAGTGCAGTGGAGTTGCCATGGTAACAGCTTCACAGTACTCCACAAGGGGGCTCCCTCTTGTAAGGGGGAAAATCCAACATTAGAAATTATATTTGGTCCGGACATTTTCCCCTATAAAAAAATATCCGGGCAACGCCGGATTATCAGCAATAGTGATAAAGAAAAGAAAGAATTGCATTCCCATTTGTAAATATTATGCACAGTATCAGAATTTTCCATACAATGTTTCAGTTGTAAATTTTCCATACAATGTTTCAGTTGTAAAGGTCATTCTTGTCACATGGGCTGAAGTAACCTGAAAACTAGAAAGACACTATAATGTACTCGCTATTCTAGATGTTAATTTTTAGAAACAAAAAGGCATCTTGCGAGAAGAATTAGTGGCAAATCCAGATGAGGTTCATCACTGACACTGAAGAAGAATCATCAAAAGAGGCTTTGGTAAGATACTTTGGCAGACACTAATGCTATTTTATAACAGGCTGCACTTAACAGATAAGCTAGAGATGTGACGGATGAGGTCTGAACAACAGTTCCAGGATTCTCCTTTTTTTGGCAGCATGTGATGTGGTTGAATAAAAATATATCAAATAGTGCAAATTCTTATTCACAGTTAGCTAAACGAACTTCAGTAACTGAAGAAAAAAGTATGACTCACTATTGAACATCGAACATTTCTTGAATCAGGTATAAGTGAGCCAAGAAACTGTTTATAAACTTATTTATTAATTTTAGACTGTTATCTATTAAATATATACAACATTCTATTTGTTTATTGATAAATATGCATTATAATATCATGGAATACAAGCAGCAGAAATGGTGGGAAAAAGGAGGCTGAGCTGGCTAGTTTTTTGGGTGACTCCAACAGAGTTTTGTTGTGCTTATTCTGAAAGGAATCATTTACAACTTGGTTCAGCCTGTGATGATGTTTTATGCATCAATGTAACTTCATATGTTTGATGCACATTATATAATTTATTTCATTTATATGATGATCACAGTGCAGATGCCGTTTATTCCTTTTCGCTCTTCCCAAAGATGCCCATGGGCATGGGTCAACTATTATTTATTAATACAATTTATCCCATACAACAGAGAAGTCCTTTCTTATGATGATCTCATAAGAGCATTTTATTTCAATAAAGAGGCTTATATCATTTCCTTTTTTTCTTTTTATGACCTTTTAATCCATTTGTTTCGGGGTGGAGTTGGGGCAACTTAATGGAGCTGAGCATTTACTGGCCGGATGCTTTCCTAATGCCTACATGGAGTTTGCAACAGATATATTCTCTTTGAACCCGGTTAGAGAAACATCTAGGATTGAATTCTCAACCTTCCAAGTGAGCGGCAAGCATCTTCACCTCTCTTTCTCTATGCATATTATAGAATTATCCCAGAACTTGTCTGTAAAACTGATGTCAGCTGGAACATAGTATTTCTAAATGGGCATAATTTCAAGTAATCTAAAATGAAATGATCCAAAATGTGCAAACTAATTTCTATAACTAACATTTTAACTTCAATAATAATAATACTCTATTAATTAATCTATTAATCTATAATATTTTTAATTTATCTAAAATGAATGTGTTCACATGTCCTCTCTCTAGCCTTCTCTGCCAAAGGAGATATTCTGCATATTAAAAACAAGGTTATTACATATTCCGTCCAATATTAGCCTTCCATCTCTCTCTCTATAAAAATTACACAATGTACAAAGTGATGCCATTTCCATTTCCTGCTCATTTCTTCCCATAAATACACACTAAGAGGATTAATTCACTAATAAAATCTCTGTAATTGCTATTAAATATTAAATCAGCTGGTTTATTTGATAATAAAACCGATAGTTACTATAAAAACAATTTTCAATTCTGTACACAGTTTATTGGTTTTCTAGTATGCAAGAGATTTAATATAATAGTTGTATGGTTTGGCTAGGCTATGAGAGAAGTCAGAATTCTAGGAAAATTGAGTGACGATAAGACATAACTGCATCTCTTAAATGCAGCCAAAGCCAATTTTATAGGCTAATCCAGTGTTTCTTACCTTCAGCAACTTTAAGATGTGTGGATTCCTAGAATTCCTAGAATTTTGGCTGACTGGTTAATCCATTGGAATATGTATCAGCAAATCAAACCATTAAAAGAAACCCATACTATTTATGTCTCCTTAAGGTTGAAGTTATTAAAACTCCTTTATGTTGAAGTTATTAAAACTAATAAGAACAGCTGTGATTGCTATCATGAGACTGAAAGGGAAAGGATTTCCTTATTACAATGTGGGATAAGAAGGAAGATGATGAAGAAACTAGCTGAAATTAGCTATTTCTGTAAGAGAGAGTACATTCCATGTGAATAAAGCACCACCCTTATCTACAATGTTTCAATATACATTTAAATGTGGAAATATTGAGGTAAAAAGGGGCATCACAAATCTTACGACTTACGGCAATTGAGCCCAACATTTCTATTGCTAAGTGAGACAGTTACTAAGTGAATTTTGCCCCGGCTCACGATATTTCTTGCCACTGTTACATGAATTATTGTAGTCGTTAAATTAGTAACATGGTTGTTAAGCAAATCTGGCTCCCCAGAAGATCACAAAAGGTGATCACTGTGACGATCATAAAAAAGAGTTAGTTGTCAAGTGTCTGAATTCTGATCACATGACCATGTCAGGGATGGGTTGCTGCCAACATTACTGCCAGTTGGGTGCATGTGCAGTTTTGCTCCACAAGTGTGCACATTTGTACATAAATAGGTCTGTGCATGCACAAAATGTTAAAAAAATGAAACAAATAAATTTGTGCAATGAAAATTGTTCTACTCATGTGCAGAACCGAAAATCAACATGGCACCGCGATAGGAGAACCGGTTCAGGGGCGTGGCAGGCCTGGGTCGCTGCTGGTTCCAGCGACCTAGGCTGCCAAACCACCACCGGTTTGGCTGAAGCGATCTGAACCAGTAGGAACCCACCACTGGACCATGGAGATGCTGTAACAGTCATGTGCAGAATGATCATAAGTCACTTTTTTCTGTTGTAACTTTGAATAGTCACCAAACAAACTCTTGTAAATTGAGGACTGCCTATAATTCTGTCATGGTGCACTACAAAGATCAGATATGGAACACAGATGTTAACTGTATTTTTGGAAATACTAGTTTTAATATAATGTCCATTATCTAGAATTACAATTTTGTTCATAACTTCTATAAAATTTACTTTATTTTGATTTATAAACATTTTGAAAAGAATTAAGAAAAGAAATAGCAGGAAAAATGCACATTGCTGTTGAAAATGTTAATGCTAGGAAATGTTTCCAGGACTATAATTTACTGAGATACTTAAAATTGCAAGTGCATTAAAAGTGAATTTTAATGTCAACATTAGCCAAAGTACAATTTCCTGTACTTTTTATGAACAAAAATGGTAAATATATTTTCTTGATTCTTCCTAAACAACCTGAATTTTAAGTAAGCAATGTATTTTGCCTAAGATAAATATTTATCTGAATGTAAGTAGGAGGAGGAATGTGATGCACTCAAAGAATAACTTACTTAATGTAAGTTCTATATAGTATAGGAGAGCATTCTAAAATTTACTTACTTGCCTATGATAATGAGAAATACTGCCATAAAACTTACAGGCTTTGAAAAACTACCTCAATTGCTAGACATTGCTTCCTA